ATATAAATGAGACTTAATTTTCTCTGTTTCAGGGGATTTTCAAGGCCATGTCTGATATTGTAAAAACACATGGCAGAGTGTGTGGGTAAGTGGAAATTCTTGTTTTTAACCTGCATTTATTAGATTCAAGGTTGACGCATATTGTCACTTAACATTTTCACAAGAATTAAAGTTTAGCTTGTTTTAGCTGTATTTTTGAGATTTGCGCTGACTGCATTTCCTCTAACGTGTTTTAAATGATATGCCAGGTATTATTTTGGCCGTAAACCAAGAGTGTTGATAGCAGACCCTGATATGCTCAGACAACTGATGGTCAAGGACTTCAGTAACTTTTGTAACAGAACGGTAAAAATAAATTAACTAAAGTTTATGCTGTTTGTGGCATGATTTTCCCATTAAACAAGCTTTGATGTACTTTTTTATTCAGATGTTTGGCTATACCACCAAGCCCTTTGAGGATTCTCTGCTCTTACTGATGAATGAACGATGGAAGAGAGTTCGGAGCATTATTACCCCAACATTCAGTGCTGCCAAGTTGAAAGAAGTGAGACATTATTTTTCTGATTAGTAGGGATATCCTGAAGCTACGTATGTTGAGGTATTTTTCATTAATGTCATTCTGGAAAGCTGTTTTAGTTCTGTTTGAAATGGTGTTTCATATGTGTTTTTGTTTTGTTTTGTGGTTGTGCCAGAGATACATTAAATTAAGCATAGTGAACAAGCAGAACCCGTGCAAAATACGGTCTTTTTATCTTTTTTTTTCTCCTCAATGCTGCCAAAATGCAAATCTCATTTGTCAGAATATGATGCTAAATTTATGCATTGCATATTTAAGCTACATTGAGTGTCTAATAAAGCTAGTAGAAATCTGCCATTTTCAAAAATATAATATTTATCAAATTATGACAGAAAAAGGGATGAGGTGGGAAAACATGCATACCTATAAGCAGTTAGCTGATTGACCCATCCATTTGACAAGTGGTAAGGCTGCAGGACGGTCAGGCGTCGTATAAGTCAAACTCACTTACAGTTGTCAAAATATATTTTTCAAAGCAATAAAGATGAAAAAAAGATTTAGAAAATTTGACCGTGTTCCTTAGGGTACACTGAGTATGAGATTCAGTGTACCCTTGGTTCAGTTGTTTTTCCATAGAGAATCAATAATCAAAAAATGAAAAATTACTTGTCGTTTCATTATTCCTTTTTATGTGGCATTCAAAAAATACAATACATCTTTGTTTTCTGCATTTTTGACTTTAACCTCACTTCAAAAATCAAACTTTGAAAAACTGTCTAGCGCATTTACTTGATTCTGATATTTGTTTTCTATCAAATTTGTGACCTGGAAGTTGTTTGTGTGTGTGTGTGTGTTTTGCATACATATCGATGCCATGGCCTTGCTGGAAACACACTAGGCATTAATCAAAGAGTTGTTTAAGACAGGCAAGACACATGCAGAGATTTCCTTTACACTGCAGCAGATGTGGATCCAACAGAGCTCGGAAACGAGCATCAGAAGAGTGTGTGCACAGCACAACCTGAAACGCAAAAGGAACGTTTTGGACGCAGAGTTGGAGATGGCTGTGCTTGGCTCAATATATGAGATTACATGGATTTTAATTTTGGGTATAATATTTTAGCTTCTATTTTTAACAGTTTTCCTCATCAGATGGGCCCATCAGACGGGCCCATCAGACGGGCCCATCCTACGGGCGCAAGTTTATGACAGGATATTTGTCGTGGTTGGGAGTGCGGGCAGGAGAACGGCGAGTAGTCTTGAAACAGATTCATCAGCCGTATCATAAATACCAACGTCAGGTGGTGCGAGTAATCGTTAACATTTGTGGCACCTGGTGACCAAACTGAGTGTGGAGTAGGCCTATTGCTTTCTGTTAATCCTCATAGACCGCTGCGGTCTGTTTACTGTTACCATGGTAACCAGACGCAATGACAGAGTACACCACTCATTCGACAGACACTGTTAGACAAGTGAGCACTGGGTGCATTCTTAATTTACAATAGCCTACTTCACGGTATACACAACGTAATCCTCCCATCTATCACTCGTATAGTTTTGACTGATTTTTTAAATTTTTTATAATAAATTCATAGATTTTTGCACCACCATATCACCCTATGAGCCAGTCCTCACAGGTTAGGATTAATTTAAAAAATCAGTCAAAACTATACGAGTGATAGATGGGAGGATT